CATCTACCTCTCACACACACTTTATCATTCACTCCTTTTCTCATCACTCAAACTTGCACACTTTCTCATGCATGCTTCCACCTTATTTCTCTCCCATGCACAATGTTTTTCTATTCCATCTCTCAAACATTTAATTATAGTAATTGTGTTTTATACACACTCCAAACTTTCTTCCTCTCCCTTTCTCTCTCAAACACGACATTATCTTCCTTTTAGTCTCTCTCTAACACAATAACACATAAAAAATAATAATTATCAAGGTTATTTAATTAAACAAATAAAAGATTATAATATAAACTTTTTACAAAAAATAAAAATGATAAAAAATTGTGAAAAAACCATCAGCGGCGATACTATTTGTCGCTGCTGAATGTTGTCGCTGAAAGTTCAATTTTTTTTAGTATTCAGGGCTTTAAAAAAATCATAAGTTATTATTTTCATGTCATTCAGTAATATGAGTTTAATAGTTGCCGATCATTTAGTAATAAAAGATTATATTATTAATAAATATCAAATTAAATATCAAGAATATATGATAATAAGATAAAAATAAAATTTAAGATTTAAATTAATAAAAAGTAAAACATAAATGTAACATGAAACGAGAAGAAAACGTAAACTCTTATACCAATACATCCTTCACTATATAGTCAATAGTTTCTCATAATAAAAGACATTTGAGCCATTAGTCTTGTGGATTATAATATTTATAGCCTTCAAATAAAAATATAATGATCTTCCAAAGAATAAAAAATATATGACTTTAAGTCATTTGATAAAAAAAATTTAAAGATAAATGGCATCTAGCCATTTAATAAAATAACAAAAAAAATCAAAGAAACATGACTTCTGGTCATAAGATGGAAAATCAAAGTTATATGGCTGCAAGCCATTTAATAAGATATAGAACAATATGACTTCTGGTCATAAAATAAAAAATCCAAGTTATATAGCTTCTAGCCATTTAATAAGATAACAAAAAAAAATCAAATACATATGGCATTTGGCCATAAGATTAAAAAAAAATCAAAGTTAATGGCTACAAGCCATTTAATAAGATATTAAAAAAATTAAATATATGCATGGTTCTGACCATAAAATAGAAAATCCAAGTTATATAGCTTCTAGCTATTTAATAAGATAACAAAAAAAATCAAATATATATGACTTATAGGTATGAAATAAAAAACCGAAGTTATATAGCTGCTAGACATTTAATAAAATAAAAAAATTAAATATATATTGGTTTTTGATCATAAAATAACGATAATCTAGAAAAATTATAGAGATGATGCTCTAAAATTATGCTGGGATAGAAAGCTATATCATACATACCTTGGTCAGAGTTTCATACTGATAACGTGTTATAAATAAAAAAAGAAATAGAGAAGAATCATACAGAGGAAGAAAAGATCAACAGAAGAGAATATTTCTCATTCTATTTAAAAGTGCTCAATACATTATACCTGGCCTCTATTTATAGGTATAGCTTTACCTCTTTGAAAGAATCTACAGATTACATAATAATAGGAGATAATTGAGAGATATAGAGATAATATGAAATATTAGAGATTATAGGAGATATAAGAGATAATAGGAGATATATGGATATCCACAAAGATATTATTATATTCATAACAGTAAAATGTTTTTTTAAATGATAATAACTAGTTGGGAAAAAATAAATGATAAGAACAATATTTTTTTTGATGTATAAGATAATATTCTATTATTTTCAAATATTTTTTAAAACATTTTTCGGGTTGAGTTAAACTCAATCAGACGAGGTGGACGGGAAGTGAAACTTGACCCGACTCATGGTTTTATAACATTGTTAAGAAAGGAACTATTCTTAACTTTTGATCAAAAAAAATTTGGTTATGATTAATATATATTAATATCATAATATTAAACTTGGGAGAAGCGGCAGGGTGGGCTAAGCTGATGGGGACGATAGTTGGAATAGGAGGAGCAACGGTTATGACTTTCGTCAAAGGTCCACGTGTTCACATCCCTTGAATCTACGTCGTCACCACCATGCCCACGTGGCACTCCACAACGACGTCGCTCGTCAAGCTTTGGTGTCGTTTGCGCCATTGGCGGCTCTCTTGCGCCTTTTGGCTCACCATTCAGGTTTCTGATTTCTTCCGTTTTTATCATTGCTATATATACGAATGTTTCTTCAATTATATGTAGTTATCCGCTTAAAAACATTAACTGATGAATCTTCTTATGCTGTTGAAAAACATGTTATAAATTATTGTCGTTTACAGGGTGTGATGAGCAGAACTCCAAGTGAGTGCCCCAGCCATCGCGTAAATACAGCATAAATTATTGCTAAAAACGACTTTAACAGGATTATTCACAGCTTGGCTTAATATTGCTCAAATCTGGCTCCGTCAAATAACCATATTTAAAAAAGAAAGAAAGAAAGAAAGAAATAGAATGAGTAAACTGATAATTAATGTTCGTAATGCTATAGGGGCTCTAATAAATAGGAGCATATCATCCCCAAAACAATTCTATTATACATAGTACCAAGGAGTTACTTTGTTAAGATAAGGCATTATATGCTATTACTAGTTTAAAAAAAGTGTAGAATCATTAAAAAATATAGGGAAAAAATGATCTTTTTATCCTTTAACTTTTAGCTTAGTTATTACTGAGTCTTTTATCTATAACTCGTTACGATACAAACTATATATTATTACCAGCAAAAATTAACTCAAAACCTTCGACCTCTTACTTTTCTTCTGAGATCTTCAGCTTTCTTGCTCTTTAATTCTTCTCCTTCTTCTCATCTCCCATGCCCCTCCAAGCCAATGAAATGAAGATGATCACAAACCAAGAAACTGATCTGCTCAACTTCTGTCAAAGGGGTCAGTCACTTCATGTTGCAATATTGGGAGCCAATGATGGTTTGGTTACAATTGCTGCATTGATGGAGATATGCAGAAGAAGGAGAAGCAGAAGAAGGAGAAACTGTCAAATATATTTCAAGCAGCATCTGCATCAGCATAAGAGGTCACAAGACAAGGCTAACGGTGGTCGCGGCTGTGGCTTCATTGGCTATGACAGTGTTTGGACGTGTGGGAGCTGTGTTTGGGCTAACCAAGTTACTTGGTTTTTTGTGGATTGAAGCTTATGAGTGAATTTAATTGCTCAATTTTGCTGTATGATGTTAAATAGGTTCTGAAAGTTCTTATACAAGACAATTCAAGGGCAGAGGCAAGAATGATACAATTTTGTTAATAAAGAATTACTAACATCTAATTCTTAATATAAAAGCTAGTTGATTAATTTGAGTAAATTAAGAAAGTTTGTTAAGTTAGTTATTTGTAATAAATAGGTATTATCTTCCCTAGAATACTCTTGATAATTATGTGTATTAATTTAGACTACTATTTAATTGAACTTTCAACATGTGCAACTACTACAAGAATTATTTTTAAAAAAAATAGATAAATATGATAAACAAAATATATTGAAGTCTTATATATAAAAACAAATTAAAAATCAGATTAGTTCTTATATTTATAACCGGAGGTAGTGTATTATATATATGATTTCTTTTTCTTGCTTTTTCCTCCCTATCTATTAGCAAAAAAACAGATGTATTCAATTCATGCGGCTGAAGTCACAAGATTCAAAGTAAATCTCAACAGATAAGCATCTTTAATTACTGTTTGCATAAAAGCCTTGAGTCTTCACTAGTCATAATCTTGATTTCACAAAAATAAAAAATAATTCTTATCATTTTTGCCTTTTTTCTTTCTAAGTCTTTTAAAATATTAATCTTATTAGATTAAGGAATATCTATCAAAATCTTTTCGTTGTATAAAAAAAAGTATATTTATAAAAAATATATGTAATTAATAAGTGTTCTTGATTCTTAAATTGTTTTTTTGTAAAAAAAATTCTTATTGCTTTAAGGCGTTGATTAAGAGCAAAACAGAATAGGGCTTTGGTTTGTGATTGTGTTTCTGTATAAAATATTGTTTGAGATGATTATTGATCTTGTCGCGACACACACTCCAGATTGTGCACAAATCCACATTCCTTCGGCAAGATATTCTGATTCTGAACAATTTTATTTCCTTCATGCAGACACTACTTTTTGGATATTTTATTGTCAAAGATGTGTATTGAGATAGTAGTTAGCTTCATTTATTTTAAAATAACTCAGTTACTATCCTTCGAGAAAGTCAGAGTGAAGAACTTTGAAACAATATTCCCAATCCTACATCATTTGATTGATAGAATAACATTAAAAGCCTCTGGAAACGAACCTGCAAATCAATGAATCACACATCGATAACACGCATTCCCCAGAATTTTTGTCCCTTCTCATTACAAAATCCTTGAATCTCCACTCTCTTTCCTGCGAGCTCAAGCTATTCGATGGCTGATTTTTCTTCTTAGATCTTCAGCTTACTTGATTTAAATTTTGTTTTGGTTTTAATTTCTCCACTGAAGATGGGTGTGGGATCTGTTAAAAAAGATTCCAACGCAACGACGCTTTCTGGTTTTGCAGGGACAATGTCAGGGGTTTGCAGTATGGTAGTAGGAGAGTTTGTGTCAGTCTACAGTCAGTATGACGATGAAGTTGCACAGATGAAGAGGGAAATGCATTTTCCTCCTCTTCTAGAGAAAATACAAGTACAATTGGGTGTTGAAGTGAACAGAGAAGTCATTTTTTGAGTGACTAGATGTAAAGAATATCAAAGAAATGTGCCAAAGGGAAAAACTCCCCCCCCCCCCCCCGGTGATATTTAGCATAGCATTTGGAAATAAAAAATCCTTGTAGAAAAATTAAGCTTAATACACACACACAAACAAATACAATAAAATGTTCAAACTCACACACTGCAGGACCTGGAAGTGAGAGATTACAATAGCTTTGCGAATGAAATGATATAAATACAATTGAAAACATTCAAATAGAGCTCCCTTGAAACAGGTGTTTTCTCTTTTCATGTATCCCCAAAAATTCACCCCGACTAACGGATGGAGAGATTACACCCATCTCTCATAGGTCGACTTTGGAGTTGCATCATCAACGATTCAGAGGGCCAGCTCACTCGTACCTCCTGTAAGGAAACAAGGGACCAGAGCTGGGCAGGGAGAGTAACCATCTCCTGGCAATGGTCAATAATCAAACATCTAAGACATGGCATGACATCACTACCTAATTCCCAGCGATTGAGGCCAACAAAACGTATCATTTTAAATACCTCTAGTTGGGGGAACCCATTAATGCAGCGAAACTCCGGCTCGGACCCATTTGCAATCTCACACCGAGATAGTTTCAAACTTGTGAGATTCGCAAGACTTCCCAAAATGCTCATGGTATCACTATTTAAGTAGGTGGCTACAATTGTTAGCTTGGTAAGGCTGGAAGGAAAGGCATTAACAGATGATGAAATATCAGGAAACCAACAAATCTTCAATGTATTCAGATAATTTAGGTTTGGAAGGTTTTCCCACACTTGAGCAGCCCTTTGTTTATGCATCTCATCCTCATCAAAATGCAAACTCAATCTCCTAAGTTGTGGGAATACGCCTTTCCCTATGAGAGGCATAAGAGCTGACCTTTTGTTAATGGCAATAGGACATAGAGTCTGTAGATTGCACATGGCTTGGCTTTGCCTTTTTACATCTGGAAACTCTGGTAAAATCATAGATGCAGGTGCATAAAGATGCCTCAGTCTCTTGAGCTTCCAAATTCCAGTGAAACAGAGCACCTTCGAGTTAAATGGCTGCCAATGCCCTAAGTCCAAAGTTTCTAGATTCCAAAGATTGCATATGAATTCAAGGATAGCTCTTGGAAAACCTTCACTAGAATAGCAGTCTAAGCCTAAGTCTAAGTCTATTTTTAAGTACCTTAGATGCATTAACATGTTTAAATTGGCAAGGAAGTTGTACTTGATGGAAGTTGTTAGATTCAACACTCGAACAAGTTGCAACCATTTCACACGCCTTTTCAAGTGGCTTGAAAGGTTGCGATCCTCGGATTTGAGGTCAAAACCAACCATCGTACGAGTGCTTGAATGGTTTTTGGTGCTTGAAGCAAAATAATTAGCCACATTACATTGAATAGATAGCCTGCGAGGTTTGCTTGGCTCTGAAATATTTGCAAGCCTACAAACTTCAAAAACCTTCTCCTCCCTGCCCTCAGATATGCAAAGTTCTCTCAAAAGATCATGGATCCGACATGTCTTGATACCGCCATTAGTTCTCCTTTTCCCTACTTGAATTAAACTACGATTAATGAGTTCCTCTAAGTAGTCCTCAGCAACATCCTCTGTAGTTCTAGAATCACTATGAATAATGAATCCTTCAGCAACCCATAGTTGGATCAAGCATCTAACAGGAATCTCGTAGTCTTCAGGGAACATACCAAAATATAGAAAGCACTGCTTCAATTTCGGAGGCAAGCTATCATAACTAGGTTTCAATACTATATCTCGTACTTGTGTTTCTGGTCGAATGAGATACGAGTTGATATGGTTCATAACCTTGGACCATTCTCGGCCTGACTTTTCCTTGTTTGTTAGAATTCTTGCAAGGACCACAATAGATATTGGCAAGCCACCACAACTTTTTACCATACGCTTACCAAGCATCTCGAAATTAGAAGGCACGCCCTCTCCTGGAAATACCCTCTTTGAGAAAAGCTCCCAACTTTCTTTTTCGTTAAGAAAAGGGAGATAGTAGGGAGGAGATGAGCTAGCATGAGAAGCCACTTCTTTCACACGACTAGTAATCAAAATCCTACTGCTTTTATCATTATTCGGAAAAGCATATTGTAGGTCATCCCAATGTTGAGTTTGCCATACGTCATCCAACACTAAAAGATATCGCTTTTCTTTCAAACAGTCTCGTACCTCGTCTCTCAGTTCTTCCTCACTAAAATTATAAAAATCATCAAATTCAGCTTGGCCTTTGCCCTTTGATTTCTTTCTATGTTTGCTACTTATATTGTTATCATAATGACATGCGTTTGCAGAGATTGACATCAAGCGTCTAAAAAGGGCATGCAAAAGCTCTCCACGTCTATAATCATTAGACACATAAACCCAATCACGACACTCAAAGTGATTCTTGACATAATCACTGTTATAAATCTTGCGAGCCAGAGTGGTTTTACCTAATCCGCCCATACCTATGATGGACACCACACTACGACGCGAACCCCCTCGCTCGAGGCGATTGATTACTTCATCTGAGTCATGGTGAAAACCCACCACGTCATCTTCCTCCACGTCCCTTCTTCGCTCGTGCAGTAGCTGTAACTCCTGATCTGTTGAAGATCCTACTGCTTCTTGGATGACGTATTTCTTTTTGTTCTCATGAATCCCATTGATTCTGGCTTTGATCTCGTCTATTTTCCCCGCCACACGGCGCCGTAGCTTTGCATGTTCAACACCATGGAGCATCTTGGACAACCAATTTCTCCTTTGATGCCGGGCAACGTCAATAACAAAGGTGTCGATGACATCCTCTGCTTCGTGTGCGGCTTCTGTGATTTGACGAATAACCTCTTGCTCGGTCTCCTTCTTGCGCTGGCTTTGGTTGCAGCTCTTAAGGAAGGCGCTCATTATCCTAAGCTCACTCTCAAGGGACCTCACTTTGTCCTCCACCCCACACAGCAAATTGGCTTCGTGTTCCACAAGCCGAGACAAAGTTTCCAGCGCAAAACTAACTACGCTATCTGCCATGGAGTCTGCACGATCAACACAAGCACACAGAAACAATAACAGAAGCAAAATTTGATGCACAAGACGTTCAAGCCTCAAGGATATTGAGGTCAGATAGATCGAAGCGAATGGCTCGGAGGACTTGAAGGGTACAAAAGAAACATGTGGGTCCACCAAACATCAGTCTTCCTTCACTCATACTGGCTGAGAAACAGCAATGGAGGAATAGAGAGTAAGCGTCTGTTTTTTTTTTTTTTTTTTTATAAAGGTCAGGCCACTGCAAAACAATGTCGCTGGACCAAATGGAGGGGAATACGAGAAGCTGATTGGTGGAGAGATGAGAAACGACATAGTTTTGCGTTAGTGGAGAGAAATGGGGAGAATGCCTTCGTGGAGAGGTTCCGCGCCGGTGAAGGAGGCGTGTGAGCCCACCCCACGTGACCTCAAAGACTTTTTTAATTGTTTCTCTCTACATTGACTTTGGGTCACATGTGTAAATTTATTTATTTATTTTTTGACCGGGCATGTAAATTTAAATTTGATTGTCAAAACCGCTTGAGCTGGATGGCACTCTTGTCCTCCAACTCCTTTATTATGTTTTCTGATAAGGTTAATTCAGGGCAATGGTTCTTGCATCACAATAGACTCCCAAAACCTTTTTGTGGACCATGATTTTCTTAAAAGGTTTTTGGATAATGATCCTTTTAAAATGGGTTAACCTACGGACTTGCTCCCAAATCCTTGTAATAGCTTCATTGGCAACCCAAACACAAAATAATTATAATTAGGACTAGAGGTAGTATCTTTTTATAATAAGTTGTTCTTACTGTCTCATTTTTTATTTTACATATGTTCTAATATGATTATAATCATAAGCAAGCTTAATTTATATCATTATGTATACATAAAATATCTTTTATTTAATTATTCTTTCAGTCCTAAATATAAGACTCTTTTTATAGTGTAAATTATAAAAGATCTTATATTTACAATTCAGGTGTATTATGTTACCGATTTGAGTAGGGAACTAGGGATTCGACTGAGCGAAGTGTGACCTGTTAGTCTTTCCTGTTTTTCTTTCAAGACACCGGTTTAACCTTTTGAGTGAAACCGTGAAAGAGAGAAAAGAAAGGCGGGGTGGGTTGTGAAAGTGACAAAAGACCAAACATATGTTGCGCATGAAGTTTTGGAGAAGACTTGGAGAGAGGACTTCTTGTTACTTCGTGAGGGTCCCCCGCAAAGATTGACACTAAGAAAAATTTTACTTTTAATCTAATTTTTTAAAAATAAGATAGGATAAAAATTAAATTAAACAGTGTGATTTGTGTTTTGATTGATTTTTATAAACATTAATTTATAAAATTACCATAACTTTTATTAAATAAGGAAAAATAATTAAAAATATGAATTTACAAAATATAATAATTTTAAATTATTATAATAGGAAAAAATTATATTTAACGAATAAAATGTATTTAAATTAGAAAATATAGTAATGTCAAAATTTTTGAGCCAAATAATATTACATAATTAATTGGATGATACACTTTACACAATTTATGTAAATATAAAATAAAAATAATATTAAAAATTAAAAATATTATAAAAACTGTTAAAATTATTTTCACTTAAGAGAATAATTAAAAATTGATTCGGAAGAGCAAGGTATATATAGAGAGAAGCATAAGAACAATATAAACATATTATACAAGTCATAAGCAAGTGTTAAGTATTTTTACAATTATGATTGAAAAATAGTTTTTGACTCATAAGCAACTCTCAAATTTGCAAACTGACTTATCATACTTATAAGGTTTTTTTCAAAAAGAAAAAAAACGCCTTACCAATCAGTCACAATGTGTATCTATTGTTCACATAATGCCTTTCTCCTTTCTTTCTGTTTTCTTCTGTTTCTTTATTTAGGCCATCGAGTACATTTAATGGCTTTCTAAGAGTATCACCTTCGGACAATGTTTTGCTTATTGTTCTCTGTTTAAATCCCATTTTCTTCTGGGAAAGAAATTACACAAATTCTCTTTTTATTTGAATCTTTCATTGTATTGTTGCTTTGTGAATTTATTCACGCCCAATATCCATTAAAGGTTTACCATATGCCTTTAGTAATGTTATTCTCTTCATTATATATGTCGTTTCTTTTGTGAATTTTTTTTGGCCAAAAATGTCAATTTTATTAATATCTCAAAAAAAAAAAATAGTACACACCAATAGCGAAGCCAAGTAAAAACTCTCAAAAAAAAAATCCAATCAATACAACCTATCACACCCCTTACTCCTAACTAAAAAAAATGCAAGAAAGAAACAACCTAATGACCAGATAAAGCAAGAAACTCTTAACCAATACTTTCTTTCTTGAAACTTATCCTGGTGCCTTCTTCATTGGATTCCTTACACCTCATGGAGTCACAAGTCAAAATCACGCATAAGGACGGTGGCGTTGAGGCCAGCCAATCCCACTGGTACATCCCCTTGTGGCACCTACTGCTATAATATCGGCGCTTTGTTTTCCTCCCTCGAGACAAGAGAAAAATTGACCCCTTGCACAGATTTTTTTTTGATCAAGGACTTCCTTCAACAGCACAAGACACTTCCATTCACACCCAGGTCTCAAATTCTTCACAGTCATCTTGAAAAGAATCTCACAGTCCATCATCCCAACCACCGCCGGAGATTCTGAGAATGAAAAACGTGGGGCTTTTTTCCCTTCTCTTTCGGCCTTGAAAAGACGGGTGGGGTAAGACCGTATCTGAGAAATTGAGATGTAATGAAAGAAACCTCTGGGCCCACCCACATGACCCCTGTTTCTCTCTATAGTGACTTTGGGTCAGCTTGTAATTTTCTTTTTTTTGGACAGGGAATGTAAATTTAGATTTGAAGTGAATGATGAACAATAAAATGCCAAAGCCGCTTGAGCTGAATGGCAATCTTGTCCTCCAACTCCTTTATTATGTTTTTTGATAAGGTTAATTCAGGGTAATGGTTCTTGCATCACAATAAACTCGCAAAACTTTTTTGTGGACCATGATTTTCTTCAAAGGTTTTTCAATAATTATCCTTTTAAAATGGGTTAAGCTGCGGACTTGCTTCCAAATCCTTGCAATTGCTTTATTGGTAACCTAAACACAAAATAATATAAGATCTGGTTGACTAATTAGAAAAGAATAAAAAAATTAGTTAAGTGTATTTGAATTAATATTATCTTTTTTAAAATATTTTTATTAATCATGTCTATTGGAATTACTCATTAATAATAACTCTTTTATATATGCAATTAGTATAGAAATTACCTGAGAACAAAATAAATAAATGTTAAAAATAAAACAAATTAGAGTATTATATTTATTATCAAATTGAGTGTGAAACTAGTTTTTATGGTAAAAATTAAACCAGTATTTAGAGAGTTTACAATTTGGAAAAAAAAACGGCACGCCCAAAACACAAAAGAGAACAAATAAATTAATTAATTTAATTTTAATTATATCAAATAAATTAGACTAGATAGGATTCTCTTGCCGAGGTGTTTCTTCGCGTTTTCTGTCGGCAGCAACAAAGGCGGCGACTAAGGTGGTTCTAAGTGTGCCTTAAGGTTAGGATTTGGGCTTGTTTTTTTGTGGATTGAAGCTTACGAATGGTTTCTTTTTGGTAAAAAAAGTTTAGTTGAATTGAGTCCCGGAAACCCACCAGAGCCAGGACATGCCTCGAGACTCAGAGAGCGCTTACAAAAGTACTTACAGATCATCCACCAACAAGATCTTCACATCGACAGTGAGATTCAAACTCACAACCTTGTGGGTTATGAATCGATTCCTTACCAACTGGACCAACTCTTGTTGGTAGCTTACGGATGAATTTATTTGTTGTATTATGCCGTATGGGGTTAAATAGGTTCTTAGAGTTCTTTACACTACTTCCGATCTTTAATGTAAAATCTTGTTTGATTTTTATGTTGGTTCTAAATATAAAACTCCAATTCACTATATCTCTCATATTTATATATTTTTTTTCAAGATAGTCCTTCTAACAATAATAGTTCTAACCAATACACTTGATTAGTAATGATATTTTAAAAAAGATAGCATCAATTTATTACAAATAACTAATTTAACTTTTTTACTTAATTTCTTGAAATTAGCCAATTAACTCATATATAGGATAGGAGGTAGGATAAGACAATTCAAGAGCTGGGGCAAGAATGATACTATTTCGTTGATGCAGAACTACATTACATATGTATGTATGTATGATGCCTCTTCCTCCTTATCTGTTGGGCCAAAAACAGATGTATTCAATTCATGCAGCCAAAGGCACAGGATTCAAAGTAGTTCTTGATTAGGTACAGTTTGAGCAAGTGTCTTGAATCTTCACTAGTCGTAGTCTTAAGTACAAATTGCACCCATCTCTCACGGGTCGACTTTGGAGTTGCATCTTCAATGAGTTAGAGGGCCCTACCACTCTTACCTCCCGTAGGGAAGTCAGGGATCAGAGCTGGTCGGGGAGCGAACTCAAATCAAAGCAAGAGCGAATGAATCCAAGTGTAGCTCTAAGTGTGGCTTAGGTTAGGGTTTGTGCTGATGGTGGCTTTTTGGGCTTAGGGTCTTTGTTGTTTGGGCTTCAGTAACTGTTGCGTTTTGGGTTTTGTTGAATCTCTTTGTTGGTGTTTTTTTTTAAATATGTATTTCTTCCGGTTAAAAAAAAAAACAAAAGATAGGATTATCCTGCTCGGTGGCAAAACGAAAAAATCTCCTACTACCAGCGCGCGCTGGCACAACTGGTAAGGGAGTTGTGTCCCTTAACCATCAGCTCTGGGGTTTGATTCTTGGAGGGATGGGAATGGAGCAAGCGTGCCTGAGAGGGTCGCCTCCCATCTTGGGCCCGAAAGTACCCAAGAGATTAGTCATTGGGCTCGCTCCGATAGATACCCTAGTGAAAACCAAAAGAAAAAATCTCCTACTCGAAGACAAGGAATTCTACCATAACGGACCAACACAACCAAGGATTGATCC